TTTTTGCTTGTTTCTTTGTTGTTTTGTTTTGGGTCTCAATGTGTAACTCTAGCTGCCCTGGAATTAACTATGTAAACCAGGCTGACGTAGAACTCACAGAGAACCACCTGTATATGCCTCCCCAATACTGAAGTTAAAGGTGTATACCACCATGTCCATCTAGCCTTAGTTTTTTAAGGCAGGCTCTCACTGTGCCTTTCACTTTGTGCCTTTTAGTCAGACTGAACTGAAGTTTATTATCTTCCTACCACTTCCTCCAGAATGCTTGGATTGCAGGCATGCACTACTGTGCCTGGCTGCAGAAGCCACATTTAAATTGCTGGTAAAGGGATAACAAAACCTGAGAATGTGATTAGATTTCTGTCTGGATTCTATCACTGCATCTGAACATTGTTTGTCTTCTAAGTAGACTCACCTACAAAAGAAATCATTCTGGCTCCTTACACATTTCTTAAATTGTCATGATTTTTTTTTTTCTCTCTTTTTTTTTTAATTTCAGAAACTCCACAATCTTTGAGGAATACTCAGTTTCTGGGGGTTTTGTTTGTTTGTTTGTTTGTTGGGGGGCTTGTTTTGTTTTTCGAAACAAGGTTTCTCTTTGTAACTTTGGATCCTACCCTGGAACTTGATCTGTAGACCCAGGCTGGCCTTGAACTCACAGAGATTCTCCTGCCTCTGCCTCTCTGAGATTAAAGGCATGTGCCACCACCGCCCATCCCAGTTTCTAAGTTTTTAGTGATTAACTAGCAGGTGCTGGCCACAATCTACCCACTTTAAGGGATAATTTAATAACTCATGGTTGATTATGAAAGCAATGGAGAGGGGATTTTGGCACAAAGTCCCACCTGTAATCAGGAACCTATTGGCATTGTAGCTTCAGGGAGAGGGAAAGTCAGTTTTCTCTAAAAGTGTAGCCCCCTATAAGTGACCCAGGCTTCAGTGGAAGACCACACATCCAAAATTATTTGGCAGCATAAACTGGCCTTGATATGGGGGTGGGGGAAGACACAAAGTTAGGTGGGTATGAATTCTAGTTGGTCTTAATAAAAACCCAGAAACAGATATTGGAGTTAAAGCTGAAGATCAGCAAATTGGCCAGCCCCTAGAGAGTTCTCACCTCTATCAATGCTCAGACTGAAAGCAATCCTGTCCTCAGATTGCATCTCTAGACTGCATCTGTCTCCACCAAACCTTGGACTGCGCTGAGCTCCTGTCTCCTCCCATCTTACTGCTGGGATTAAAGGTATGGGATCCCAAGTGCTGATATCACCTGTAGACTGGATCAATTTCTTGTAGCTCAGGGTGGCCTTGAACTAACGGAAGTCTGTCTGCCTATCTCCTACAGTGCTGGGATTAAAAGGTGTTTACCACCACTGCCTGGCCTCTATGGCTAACTAGTGTGGCTACCTTTGCACTCTGATCTTCAGGCAAGTTTTATTTGATCATAAACAGAATATCACCGTAAGAAGGGGGATGGATTCGGGAAGTGTTGGAGAGGAAAGGTGAATATGATTGTACAAATTTCTCAAAGGATAAATAATAAAGAAGAAATATAGATGAGCCAGAGGAATGTAGCTATGTGGCAGAGCACTCCACTTAGAATGTGTTTAACCTATGCCCAAAGAAGGATGCAAGTATAGGAACTGAGTTCAGTTGATAAGAGTGCTTGTCTATCAGTCTCATGGCTCTGGATTTGGTCCCCAGCACTCCATAAACAGGACATAGTAATGCATGCTTGCCTATAATCAACACTTGAGAAATGGAACCAGGAGAATCAAAAGTTAAAGGTCAATCTCAGCTATATCAAATTCCATGCCAACCTGAGAGATACATGAGATCCTGTCACAATAAAACAGCAAAAAAAAAAAAAAAAAAAAAAAGCCCACATAAGTCTCTATCTCTAGCAGGGAGGCACCAGGATCTTACAAGTTGGGGAATCTGATGAAAACTAAGAACTCAATGCAAACCTATCTGTGCCCCACCTATCTTCAGCCCATCACAAGGCATATTACAGCTTTGGGAAAAGCTCAGAGCACCTCTCATCTCAGGATATCTGCACAAAGTATTCTTTCTTCCTTATCTGCAGAGAATGTGCTCTGAACGTCTCCCCATGACTAAAACTGCAGATAGTACCAAACACTGAACATGCTATTTACTTTATAGTTGCATACCTATGATAAAGTTTTAATTTATACGCTGGTGATATAGCTTGATGGTAGAGCACTTGTTTAACATTCATGAAGCCCTAAGTTTGATCTTCAGTATCACAAAAATAAAGTCTAATTTATAGAAAGTAATGATAATTAATAAAATAGAATAATTATAGCAATGCACAAAATTATTGACTAAGAACACTGCACTACTATATGTCACTAGTATGGCAACTAGGATGACTTCTAATGAGAGGATAGCTTTTATAGCTTGGACACACTATAGAAAGAAACAGTATAGGGCAGCATAATTTTCATCATTCAACTAGAACAGTGTGAAATTCAAAACTTTACAATTACTTTGGGGATAGAGAGATGGATCAGCAGTTAAGGGCACTTGTTGCCCTTGCAGAGGACCTGAGTTCAGTTCACAGCTAACAACCATCTGTAACTCCAGTTCCAGGGAGTATTGGAGGCCGTCTTCTGACCTTCTCAGGCATTGCATGAACATGGTGCACATACAAATATGGACACACACACACATAAGACAAATCTTTTAAAATATTTTCTTTTTAGAATTTCTGAACTACAATTATATTCTATTACATTTCTTTATATAGAAGCACCAATTTGTAACATCAGGCAGTGAGAATGAAATTTGGTGGCTAAATACTCCATTTCTTTACTCCTAAGGGGCCAGGTCTGATGTATGTTATATTGTAATGTTTCTCAGAGTTTTTCAACACATAGAGATCACCTGGAGAAAATGGTTAAATAGGCTCTCAGCCCTACTTTGCAATTTATTTTTTTTCTGCCTTCCAGGCCCCAGTCCTGAAATTCACTTTGAATTCAAGAATCCTTCTGCCTTAGCAAGAGTACTGTGATTATAGACCTCAGCCACCACATTCACCTGTATTTCATTGTTTGCTTCTTTGGTTTTTGTTGCTATTTGAGACAGGGTCTTGCTGTGTAGACCCCTTTGGCTGGCCTAGAATTCACTCTGTACCTGGGCAGGCCTCAAATTTCCCATGATCCTCCTGCTCCTCCCAAATGTTAGCATCACAGGCCAGGGCAAGCCACCATGCTCACTTTCAAACTCCTCAGATACTGCTGCCGCCAGTCATGGGCATTCTTGGCATTCTTGGAGTAGCATGGCTGGCTGAGATTTCCAGTGGGATTCAGTCTCCATTACCTGAAACACCTATTATTGAATTTCTCCTCACTCCCATATTCTACTTGGATTTTACCCTCTAAATGAACTACTTCCATCCACATCTTATATCATTATTTTAGTGAAGCATCCAAACTGTAAACCTGCATAGGAAAATGCACGTAAAGAGTATGCTTAGATATTTAAAGAACATAGGAATTCTCCAAAAGCTGCTTCCCCCAGCTTTTGGGGGTAGGATCTTAAGTAGCCCAGGCTGGTCTCTAAAATGAAAAAAGGATGTAGTAGTCAAAATAAATTAGAAAAACAGACCTTTTAATTCCAGCACTTGGCAGACAAAGGCAGACATATTCCTGAGTTCAGGGCCACCCTGATCTACATAGCGAATTCCAGGCAAGTGGGAGTTACAAAATGAGACTCTGTCTCAAAAAGGAGTAAGCCTGAGATTCTAGGGTGACCCTAAGTTTGAAATCAATACAAAGAGTATTGTCTCTCATTCCTATTGTGCTTTTATGGTTTCTTCAACCACTGTACTTTGGACATCACTAACTCTAGAACCCTTAGTTCTTTTCTTGCTATATTCACATAGAGACAAACATATAGCTGGTTTCTTTCTCCTACTTCTTTCTTGATCCTATCTGGTCTCTGATTTAGCCTTTTTGGGATATATGGGGGTTTTTTGTTTTGTTTTGTTTTTAGATTTATTTATTTTGCATGTGTGATTGTTCTGGCTGTGTGTATATATATATATATGCACCAGGTGCCTGAACAGGGAAGAAGACATCAAATCTGTGCTAGAGTTACAGGCAGTCCTAAACCACAATGTATGTGCTTAGAACTAAACCCCAGTCCTCTGCAAGAGCAACAAATGCTCTTAACGTCTCCAGCCCCATATAAGCCTTCATATATGTATTCCCAAGCTGACTCTTGTATCTGGTAGCTTTAGATTTATTTATTTACTTTATGTATATGAGTGTTTCACCTGCATGCATGTATGTGCACTAAGAGGCAACAGATCCCTGGGGAACTAGGATCACAGGTGGTTGTGAGAAGCACATTTCTGGTTGCTAGCATACATACTCTGGTCCTTTGAAAGGGCAGTAAGCGATAAGGCCACTGGCAGTGTGTCCAAGATCTAACTCTAATGGACTTAGTGGAGTCCATTCTATATGGAGAGATACCTTGTTCAGTCTATATACAAGGGTGTGGGAGTGGGGAGGTGCCTTGGTCCTGCCTCAACATAATGATGGGACAGACTTAGTAGACTTCCTCGGGGAGGCCTTACTCTCTCAGAGGAAAAGATGGTAGGTGGGGGGACCTGGGGAGAGTCACAGAAGAAGAGGGAGAGGGAACTGGGGTTAGAATGTAAAAAATAAATAAATAATGCAGTAAGTGTTTAAACTGCCAAGCCATCTCTTCAGCTCTTCTGGTAACTTTAAACATAATCTTGTTTTGTGAAAATCAAAATAATCTTTCTTCACTTTTTTTTTTTTTTTTTTTTTTTTTTTTTTGATACAGGTTTTCTCTGTGTAGTCCTGACTGTCCTGGAACTTAGTTTGTAGACCAGGGTGTCCTGGGATTAAAGGTTTGCAGCACCACTCAGCTGAACCTTCACTTTCTTAATACTCCACTTTCCTGGTGTTTTCTAGTTTCTAAATGGCTACACAAAAAGATAACAAATGCAGTATTGCCAACATTTATTTCCTAATCAGTGTACAATAGCTTCTTAGCTTTATGCACACATGGACCAGCATGTAGTTTTACATATGAGAATTTATCTCATGTGATACTGAATGATATACATGATGAATGTGGTTTGGTGGGTGGGGTATGGAAGCAACTGAAGCTCACATATGGTCTTAAAGTCTAAACAATGAGTGTTTAATATTTAGCTTTAATTGGTCTTTGTGCATCACCGGCCTCCATTTTCATCAGCCTTCAAATATCAGAGGAAGAATAAGTTTGGTTCCTTGAAGTTTATTGACTGTTACTGGTGGTGAAGAAAATCACATAAAAGAGCAGATGCCATATGGAGGAACAACGGAGTGGGAGCTCTGAGCTGGTGAGGAGGGGTGCTTTGGAGTGGGAACTTAAAGTGTAGAAAGGCGATGGCTCCCACCCTTCACCCTCCACTGCCACAAGGATACTGGAGTAACAGTTGGAAAATCCTGTCCAGGAACCCCTCTCAAATGGGAAGCCAAGAGGGGAAAAGATGTGAATTATAGGAGGAAACACTTCACAGCTCACTTCACAGCTCCTCTGTCTCTCCATCCAAGGGGATGCCAATATCCACAGTGTAGTCTACAGGCTCCCCAGAGCTCAACCAGGGAATAGGGGTTCGATTGAAAGAAGGCCTGTTGGAGAGGTTCTGGTTGTAGAGGACCAGGGGTTCATTCAGCAGAGGCCCCAGGTCAAACTTGGGCATCTGGAAGGTCATGCGTTTGGAGGCCTTCTCATATCCACCATAGGGCATTGCTGTCCTGAAAGGGGGACACATCACATAATTAAGAACCAGAATTAAAAAAAAAAAAAAAAAAAAAAACAGTACTTACCGATGACATATTACCCTGTTTTAAGGGAAGGGAATCTACAGATTGTAGCTATAGATTACTTCTGTGATCCTGGTCCTTCTCCCTCAATACCCCACATCCCTGGCTTGCTTATGTCTCCAGAGTTAGTAATGAATGGACTCTGCATGGCCTCATGGACGGTTGTGATATACACCAGCATTTTAGAAAAAGTGGTCCCAAATAGGCCCAATAGTATGAGGCTATCTTAGATTAAAATGTGTCTGCCCCCTCTAGCTCTATCTACTCTCAAAGGGATAGTGGATGGCCTGGCTGGGAGGAATTAACAATCAAATGCAAAAGCACCTCTGTAGACCTTCTTCAACCTGCTCTCACAAATCTCCTACCAATGGTCTACAATGCCTGATTCTAAAACAGAAACTTGGAGCAGGATATAAAGAAATACCAGTATCTTGTAGGGAGAGTAATGGCATTGTCACATTGAATGGGTGGGAACCAGAAGCCTCCAACCACAAAATGTAGTATCCCCATTTTACCTTCAAAGTAACTAAAGCTCTAAAAAAAAAGCAGTGGTCAAACTGATGATCAGTGAACTAACAGAGATCTCACTTTCTAACAAATCTTTCCTCCACCACACTACTACAAGAAGCAAACACACAGAGATATTCCATGAAGGACCCATATTCCCTTGATTTTCTGAAACATTTACCTATAATCCCATACCAAGTAAAACACAGAAACACCACAGTAAAATACATCTGGTTTCTTTCCATTACCCTACCTGTTGAAGGACTTATATTTGGGGAGTTCAGCTTTTGCCCCATATGCCAATAGGTCAATGCCAAGTTCCACTTTTTGCTGAGGCTCAACCCCCATGGCCTGATCCCATGGGGAAATATAAGTCTTGAACACAGTGACATGTTTTCCTTCTCCACCTGCCTGGTCACCTGGTAGCCATGAAAGAGAAAAGTAAATCAAATAATAGCAGCTATTATTGGTAGCTAATGAAAGTTAACCCCATCCCCCAGCCCTAGGGAAGTTGCTGAGTCTAGAAGCCAAAAGTATAACATCCTGGGAATTGTATGTGGTTTATAACATAATGATAGTCTGGGGTGAGATCTGTGACTGAATCTGAAAAGCCAGGGAAAAAATAGCTAAAAGATAAGGCTATGGGTGTAATAGACACATTGCTGCATTCTGGATAACTTCTGAGTCCAAAATGCCTCATTCTCCCTCTTTCCATATCCCAAAAAGGCCCCCATCCCTAGGGACATCTCTAGGAACCAGATGTGCTACTTCTGGTGAGAATGCTTGCCTGTTCCTGGCTCTCCAATCCCTGCTGTGCCAGGAGCTGCTCCTCTGCCAGCCTGGCCCCCAGGACCACCTGCACCCCCAGCTCCAAAGCTGTAATCCTGATGATGGTGGTCGTTAGAGCCATACTGTCCAGCAGAACCACTGCCCCTGGCCTGGCCTCCACTGCTACCCTTGCCATAGGAGAATCCCTGACTGGCTGTCTTCAGTTGTCCTCCCACTGTGGGAAGGAACTTCTGAAAGTGATCCTGAAAAGAAAATACAAAGCAAGAGGAAGGTTAGCAATGGGTATGGGAAATACACAAAGACAGAGGTACAGATTCAAGGAGGGGGTGAATAGAATTAAGGACTACCCAGAATATCCCAAATCTGAGAAATCATCTCTAATAACTGCATAGAAGATCACCAGCCTGAGGGAATTACATTCCTGCAAAGGTTTAAATCCCTAATTATAACTCAAGGCAAGGCAGCTCATTTTCCACTCCCCCTTCCTGTCTTGACAAAGCAAAGCAAAGCAAAGCAAACAGAGGCATCTCGAAAAGGAAATGCAAGGATGAGTTTCTAGGGAGAAGCCAATTGTAGTTTGAAAAAAAAAAAAAGCGAAAGGATCTCTGTTCCTCCCCTTCATAGTTTGCTCAGCAGTGAGAATGCTGTTTCTCAGCTCCTCTCTCCCTCTCCCATCTTGATTGCATATGGGAACAGAACTTTCTCACAGTGAAACTGTAGCAGGTGAAGGGGGGTAGAGGGAGGATGGCCAAAAGGGCAACACTGGTTTCAGCTCCAAAGCCTAAAAATAGCCCCCACCAACTCCTTGAGGAGGCCCTCCTGGCCATCTTACCCAGTAGCCCCATGCTCCACCCAATTGTAACCAGACCCAGCAGAGAGGAGGCCTTTGGGCCTCCTAAAGTTAGATATGACCCACTCAGCACTTTGACTTTGATTCTGCATAAGGGCTAATGACAGACACTCCTGCCTTGGCCATATCCATGTAGGTGTCTCCCCCAGCCACCCAGAGGAGGTGGAGGAGGAAGAGAAAATAGAGTTAGTCCCTTCCTTTTCGCTGTAGAGTCCTCTGCCTGGCCTCTCTCCAACCCTCCTCCTCTTTCTTTGGAGAAGCCTGCCTGGAAGATGTGTGGTCTTAGAGAAAAAGGGTTTAGTCCCCTGTTTGGTACCCTTAAAGAAGAGACTGGACCTTAAAAATGATGTATTCAAAAGGAAGATGGCTATAAAAACTCATTAGACTCTTCTAGCGTTGCCAGGTCTAACAAAATTGCAGACTATTACTTGCATCTTATGTTCAAGTATGGAACAATATTTTTAGTGTAAATATGCCTTAAATATTTAATGGGACAAGATTACATTAAGAAAGTATTTGTTATGTATTTAAATTTAAAATGCAACACATCCAGCACTCAGGAGACAGAGGCAGGCAGAACTCTGTGAATTTGAGGCCAGCCTGGTTTACATAGTTCTAGGCCAGCCAGAGCTACATGGTAAGAATCTGTCTCAAAAAAAAAAAAAATTGAGATGGTGGTGCACGCTTTTAATCACAGCATTTGGGAGGCAGAGGCAGGCAGAGCTCTGTGAATTGAGTCCTGGTCTACAAGAGCTAGTTCCAGGACAGCTTCCAAAGCCACAGAAAAACAAAAACAAAACAAAAAAAATTTTATTCAAGTATTATTTTTATGTCGAAAACGTTACATGTTACAGGCAATGTAATTACAGGAAGAAAAAAAAAAAAAAAAGACAACTGTTCCATGTAAAAACTTTTCTCAAACTCATGATCAATCCTCCTTCCTCAGCCTCCTCGGTGATCCAACTCATTGTGTAGACCTGGAGGTGAAATGTAACTGGGTACTCTTTGATTTTTGTTGGCTTGCTGTTTGCTTTTGGGGGCACTGGAAATGAAACCTAGGGGCCCATGTATTCTAAGCACCTGCTCTGCCACTCAGCTATACAGTCAGCCTCGAGATTCTGTAGTTTTTGATTCTTGTTTTATGTCCCAAATATTACAAAGAACATACTTTACTTAAAAAAAATATTCATTGTATATCTTAACTTCAAAATACAGGATCGGGTGTCCCATGTTTTATCTGGCAACCCTATTTTAACACTTAACCACACTGGGAAGGAATTTTTCTCTGGGTGTGGTACTCATCAGCCTGCATTGGCTCTAAGATGGGTACTAAGCTTCAGAAATGGGTTGCAACCCACCCTAGAGCTGCTGGGAATGTAATATATGAATGGGGCTTAATGAGTTTATCATTTCTCATGGAGAGGAGGTGGATGGTATTTGGGGAACCTGGGACCTACTGAGAGGCTGTCAGGAAAGGCACTGGGCTGTGAGAGAGTGGGTCATGTCCATACTCACCATTGAGCTGTCAGAGAAAACATCTGGGTGGTTCTCGTAAATAAATTTCTCCACCCGCATCTGCCGAAGCTTGAACATCTTGGAGCCTCGGTTGGTAAGTAGCGACAGCTCCTCCAACATCACGTCCCTTGGGACACTGATCTTCTTGCCCAGGTTCAGGCCTGAGCTCTCTCTCCCACCTTATCCAGGAGGTGGAGAAGAGGCGATAGAAAAAGGATATTTAGGCTTTCTGGACTCAGAGAACTCCCACCCACAGCTGAGTGTATAATCAAAGATCATTAGGGACAAGATGCTATTATCTGACCAACGTCTGTCTAGTTTACGAGAATGTTTTGTCTCATTTTTGTGTATCATTTAAACTTTTAAAAGATTCATTTATGTTTATGTGTATGAGTATTTTGCATTATTGTGTGTATGTGCACCACATGTGTTTCTGGTACCAACAGAGGCTCAGATCCCTGAAGTTACAGATGGTTCTGAGCCACCATATGGGTGCTGGGAACTGAACCTGGGTCCTCTGGAAGAACAACTTGCTCAACCACATCTCCTCACATTTTTAGTTCCATGTGGGGTGTGTGTGTGTGTGTGTGTGTGTGTGTGTGTGTGTGTGTGTGTGTGTAAGAGAGAGAGAGAGAGAGAGAGAGAGAGAGAGAGTTTGAGACAGGGCCCAGGTTTCACTATGTAACCCTGACTGGCCCAGATTCACTGTTAGAATAGGTTGCCATTGAACTTATAAATCAGCCTGCCTCTGCCTCCTGTGCACTGGGATTGAAGGCATGGGCCGCCATACACACTCCATAAGAAGTTGTGATGTTTTGGTTTGGAGTTAAAGAGAATACAACGGAACAAGGTTTCAGGTCATATACAGTTGGAATACTAGAGTAGAGAAGTAAACAGAGCCAAAGAGGGTGTGGGCTTGGAGTGGAAGAGAACAAGTATAAGGAAGTAGCATAGACAGAGGCCACTGGAGAAATTATAGCTGGGGGAGCTGGCAGCCCAATACCATGTGCAGTTGCCCATCTCTAAATACAGATCCTTATGTTCTTTCTTTTTTTTTGAGTCAGTGTACTCTGGCTCCAGAGGTATCAGAAGAACTTCACACTTCACTCCTTTGCATCCCTGGGGAGTATGCCTGCACAGTTTCCTATTTTAAATTCTCTAGCACTTAGAAAGAAATGAAGAAGTTAACCGTTTGGTGAGGTATAGCTTGTGTCCTCACATTTGCCTCACTGTGCCTGACTGAGTGGTGTAGCTGGGTGTTGCCTAGGAGTAATCAGTGGCAAGGGTGGGAAGGTGCAAAGAAAAATATGACATTCTTCCTGACTCTCCTTACCCTTCTTCCCTCTCCCATCACTTCTATCTCCCACACCCTCTGTGGCTGGAATTCCTCATGTATTTTCACTCTGACTTCTGTAATTTCTGGGACTCATGAATCAAGGGTGCTCTTAAAAGTTTGGCACTAGAGAGGTACAAGCATTCCCTACCTCCAGTGAGTTCCATGATCAGTTTGCTGGATTTCCTCCTCTTGTTAGGGGCTGGGGTTCCTGAGAGCGGCATGGTGGAAATGGATTTGACCTGGAATGAGTGGGAAGCAGGCTTGAAGGAGAAACGGAATGGGAAGAGTGAATGTGTGTAAGGTAGCAGTACTTCCTTCTTTTTCTTCTTTTTCTTTTTGCCTTCTTCTTTGTTTTTTGTTTGTTTGTTTGTGTTTTGTTTTTTGTTTTGTTTTTTTCTGAGACAGGGTTTCTTTGTGTAGCTCTCACTGTCCTATGTCCTAGAACTTGCTCTGTAGACCAGGCTGGCCTCAAATTCAGATCCACCTGCCTCTGCCTTCCGAGTTGGCATGCGCCACCATCTCCCAGCTTAGTACTCCTTAACTTGGGGTTAAGGACAAAATTTCTTTGGAGCACACACGTGCGTGCGCACGTGCGTGCATGAGTGTGTGTGTGTGTGTGTGTGTGTGTGTGTGTGTGTTTCTCCCATGCTGAGGATTGAACTCAAGACTTCATGCAAACCACACAGGTTCTCCATCACTAAGCTATGCAGTCTGCTCTCAGGTTTTCACAGAAATGTGTATTCCTCCCAAAAGGTAAAACTCCACTGTCTTGGGGCTGGTTTCTTTTGGTATCAGAACAGGAGGCAGAGCTGCCCCCTTTTCCGTACCTCTTACCAGCCTCCAGTGCCCATTTCTCACAGGTCCTGTGTGGGGACCAAGAGCTGTTTAAAATGCAACAGCCCTGGCAGGACAAATGTGCCCAGGTTTCTTGGGCCTGGTATGATTTAAAGCAGTTATTTGTATTGCGGTATCAGCCTACAGCTATGTCTCCAGACTCTGGTCTCCTCCTCAGGCTTTCCTCAAGGTCCAAGGGGTAAAGAAATGCTCTGCTGGTGTTAAGAAGATTCAGCCAAGACAGTCTCCACATGAAGGAGAGGTTGTTGTTCTTCCAGGAGGCCAACTGGAACTTGGCCTGAGAGGTCATGGGTATGTTCCTTGTTCGTTCAGGCACTCCTATCCCAAGCTGCAGAGCTAGGGTGGAGAGTGAACTGAGGGCATTTGAGCACTGACAGATGTCAGTTCGGCAATAACATTTATAGCAGTAGAGAATTGTAGGAGGACAGAAACATAGTAATAAAATCTGGCTACGGATGGGGACAAGCTAGGAAAAAACATGAACTTCATTCTGTCCTTAACAGTCATGCAGTTTTCTGTAGAGTCCTGTTTCAGAAGCACAACTATACTCTACCAACCTAGCAGGGCCTCAGGCCACCCCTACCCATTCCTCAGGTACCTCCCTCATCCATCTTAATTCCTCCCAACTCCTTAGGTACATTTCTTTCCAACTCTGTGGCTCTAACTGGACATTTGGGAGCTGAGCAGAGATGAGGAGAGAGGCCACTCCCCTAGAATGAAGGATCACAATTGCAGACAAAGAGGTGGGAAGAGTGGGCTCCAATCCTTACTTACCAGCTGCCTCAGTTGGTGGTCAGCTCACCCTGGGGTCCAGCAGCTTTGGAGGACTGCACTGCTGTGGCTGACTGGAGAAGCTGAGCTGGGCAAGTGTAGGGGCAGCACCGGCAATGGGGGAGGGACAGTGGCTATTAATAGAGATGATGAGAACAAGCAGCAGCTCAAATGGCACAGGGGGTACTGAGACCCTGGAACCAATTTCCTGCCCTTCTTGCCCAATGTTCAGGAAGAGGCAAGGCCTATTAGCTCTCCCATCAGACTGTCTGAACCAGTGATCAGTGGGCGGGAAGGAACCTTGAGTCTTAGATCCAGAGACACATTTCAGGAGGCAATTTAAGGCAGAGGGAGAGGAGACAGCAAGTGGCAGGTAAGAATTAAGAGTAGGTAAAGGAAAAGCAAAAACAAAACCAGAAAACATGATTGGTGGGCCACTCAGGGCCATTCCAGGCCAGGGCTGGAGGGACCCATGGAAGCATTTGGGAGTGGAAGAGATTAAAGCCCTAAGTTGGAGGCTAGGGTGGAAATTTTCACAGTGGAGTTGCTTTTAAACTCCTTGAATAGGTCAGCTTTCTCCCTGAGGGGTAGACCTTGGTGGGATAAGGAACCAACTTAGTCAAGCCCAGAGCAGATGATGTGGTGAAGGCCTGTCAGCTTCACCTGTTTGTTTTGCGCAGTGGTTCTCAACCTGTGGGTCACTGCCCATTCACAAAGACCATATATCAGATGTCCTGCATGTCATTAGGGATAAGAGCAGTAAAACTACAGTTATGAATTGGCAACAAAGATAATGTTATGGTTGTTGGTCCCACAACATGAGGTGTATTAAAGGGTCGAAGCATCAGGAAGTTTGAGAACCACGGTCTCAGCAGCTGCAGCGATACTCCAAACACTTCCTCATCTTCTGCTCATGGTGTGAAACCAGCTGTCTTTGTGCCTCTTGGTTTAATATGACCTTTTTTTTTTTTTTTTTTTTTTTTTTTGGTGTGTATGGGGGTGAATTTAGTGAACATATATAATAGGTTTCCTGATCTCAGGCATGGTAGTACATGACTTTAATCCCAGTACCAAGGAGGCAGAGGCAGGTGAATCTCTACATTTAAGGACAGCCAGGGCTACACAGAAGAATCTTGTCATCCCCCCCCCAAGAAAGATTTATTTATTTTTTTACACATGTATCATTGTACTCTGTTTATATATATTATATATACACCACCACCACCATGACCATTCTTTGTTCCCACACCTCACAGGAAGTGGTTTATGATGCTTCCAGAATGCACTGTCCCTCTGTTAGCCCTCACCCCCATCCTTCCTGACCACACCCTTCTTCCATCCTATTCTTATGCTTCAACTGGGCCCTGACAGTCCTCCCCACTCCACACACTACAGCAAGTGGCCACTGTCCAGACTTTTCATCTTTGGCCCATTTCCTCCCAACCCAAGAAAACAGGATAAAGAACATAAATAATGAAAGGTAACTTTGTTATTACTACTACATTCCTGTCAAAAACAAAACAAAACTCAAAGCCTGATCTCCTATGACCGAATACCTGAAACAAAATATATGAAGATGTGCTATTTAAGCTTGGTGTCTCAACCCTTTCTGAGGAATTCTCAGACTACTTGGGCATCTGGCTAAGTAATGACATGGTCTTTCTCTCACTCCAGTCAGTCCCCCACATTCTCTATTTTAATCTCACAGCATTATCTTTCTTCTCTGTTCCATACCTCCCACATCTGTCATCATTGCATTCCCTTTGCATGATTCCCAGAGAATGTTTAACATAGCTACTTCCTCTAGGAAGCCAGGAAAGGGCTCTGAACACCTTTCCAAATACTCTCGGTTATGCAAACTGAGCTTCACCTAGAAAGAATGAGCTTCCTCAAGAAGAGGGAGAGGCTCAAGGTGGAGAGTGCAGGAACAGGAAACCAAGAGGAATGGTAAAGTTCCGGTCAAACAAGACAATTGGCAGAAGGGCAGGAAGAGAGTCAAGGAGCTGGGATCAGATCAGCAAACTGGGTTAGAGAAGACCATGAAGCCGTCCAGGTTGGGCATAAAACAAAAAGAGATGACAGCAACAGAAGGTGTGGGCATGCATTTATTCTTGTGCACAAACCAAAGAATTGTGGCACCCAACATTGCACAGGAAAAGACCAATTTCCAGGTCAAACAGCAAGTATGGCTGGAGTCTTCATGGAAGGAGAGTCCTTACCTTTCTGGGAACAGAAATTAGGACCTGAAGCTGAATAGGAATAAAAGCTGGGCTTCTGCTCATAGGGTGGGACAAAAAAAGAGGGTTGGGCCCTGTGTCTCCCTGCCTTTCCCAGATAGTCAGGATAAGCTGCAGCCATGGAAGGTGTCAGATTGACAGCCACCAAACTAACATTCAGCACACATCCTCATATCTTTGCTCTGTGACAAATGCATGCATTCTCCTGGGCTCACACTGCCCCCTCTATGCTTCCTCACACATAGGTGGTTTCTTGTTGGCCAACTTTTCTCTCTCCCTCTTGGTCACATTCACTCATATCAGCCCTGTTCCTCATTTTTTCTCCCCCTCCCCTATCCACTGATTCTATTCACCATCCTTTCTGTCTTTGGCAGTCCAGAAGAAATTTTCTTTTTTACTTTCTGGATTCTGACTTGCTCAGCACAGGCTCCTGGTTGCTAACTTCCTGAAATCCAAAGAAATAGACTTCTTAGTCTTTCACACCCATGAAAACTGTTGGACTCATTAATATCACAGTGCTCCATACAACCCTCTTCCCGGAGCTTTTCCACAGTTAAGCTCTTGTTCCTGCAGGACTCACTGTGGAGCTATCTGACTCTTCCAGAAGAAGGAAAAGAACTTCCTTCTTACCTTGTCTCAAGAGAAGCGCATATGTATGGTTATTTGATGCCTTTCCAGAGCAGATCCTAACCATACACATTTTTGAAAGCACATCACTCACACACACACACACACACACACACACACACACAAGCTGAGGAGTGTGGAGTGTGAAGGGGTTCAGTCCCTTAGTTGCTTGCCTCGTGGTGAGCTTTTTGCCTGAGATCTCCGTGACCATTTTACTTTGTGCTTTTTGCCTAACACTAAAGTGCTGTCCACAGAGAGAAACACAAATGCAAATGGGGGAAGAAAAAAAAAATCTGCTGAGACCTCTGGGTGGAGAAGCCACAGATCCAGGCAGGGAAATACAGAGAAGATATCAAAACAAAGAGAATAGGTTAAAAAGCGGCAGCAAGGAGTTGAGGAAAATGAAGGGGAACACTATTTTTGGCAAGAGGAGATACGGGGAGAAAAAAAAAAAAAACAGTAGGAAAAGCAGACGGAACTTCTGGGACTCTAAGTTCCATTACTTGGTCCTGGGACCTATTATTTCCTGTTCACTGGTGCCCTGCCCCAGGCCTCCACACATGAGCCTGCAACCCTGTTCTGGTGGCTGAGAACCGAGGCCTGGCTACTTGGAAGCCACAGTAGTTGGGTGTGGCAGCAAAGCTCCTGGAAGACTCTTGAGGATGGTCTGGGTTAGGGACAGGGGGTGAGGCCAGCTCTGCCCTCCAAATTGGTTCGTCCAATGTGGTAGCCGCTCTGGGGGCAAGCACAGTGGCAGCCAAGGGTTCTGCAGTGGGCTGGGGTGCTGGAGTGGAGAATCTGCGGATCTCCTGGACTCGGGCAGTTTTGGGAGGCCCTGAAGTGGGGCCAGGAGTTGAAGGAACCTCGTCAAAACAGAACATGGCAGTTTTAAGTTGGTACGGCTGATGTCGCATGAAATCCAGGGCCTTGATGCCCTGCTTGGGAGTCGCCCGAGATCCCTGGGATTGGATCTTATTGGGGAGAGTTCGGGCAGCTTGGGGGAAAAAAGGTGAGAGAAGTGGGTTGTAAGCAATAGGGGGTGGGGCACGGATATTGGGTGAGTATTTCCACGATGGGGGCAGTGAGGGTGTGGGAGAAGGACTTCTAGGACGAAAGCCATGGTTAAGGCAAACGCTAGGTGTAGCTTCCACCACGTACCTGTCGGCACGGCTCTGCCGCTTGGCAAATAGCTCCCCACCCCTTCCCTGCAGCCTTGGGAGCTCAGGAATTCCAGCCGTAGGGGTCGACCCATTCACTAGCCCATCAGGCAACCCTCGAGAAGCAGGTTTAGGAGCCACAGGGGGTGGGGTCTTAGGAGTTGCCGGGGATGGGGTTTTGGGAGCCACTGGAGGCGGGGTTTTCGGTGCCACTTGAGACAAGGTCTTGTAACTCCTGCCCCCTAATGGCTGCATGAAGTTACAGGCTTCAGCTCCCAGGCTTAAAGCGTCCTCCTCTGGACCAGATTCCGCACCACCGGCCCGGGGTTTTTCATCCAGGTTCTGCACCAGCGTTAGCAGCTCCGGGTTCGGCGAATTCTTCGTCTCTTCCTTTCCCGGTCGGAACATCTGCTTCCGGGTGCCCCGGCGCCGGGCCTCCTGCAGAATGCCAGTGCGGGCAGCTGGCACAGAGATGCGCTGCTCCCGAACGCTGGCAGACTCGGGGACCGCGGGGCCGGGCGCCTCCGGGGACACAGAGCTTCTTAGAGGCGCCGCCAAGAAGATGGAAGCGGTGGAGGTCATGGCAGCCGTGCTAGGAGGAGTGGGAGGCTCTGGGGCGCCGCCTGGTGTAACGGGCCGGCTTGGGGCTGGGATATACAGGGAGCTGGTAGCAGTTACAGGACCGGAGGAGCGTGGGGTGATGGGAGCCCCGGGGACCGACGTGTGGCCGGGCACCACTGTCGTGAAGCTGGGCAGAGGGGTGGGCCCCTGAAGAGGGGCCACGAAGGGGGACGGGGCGGAGCTGGTGGCTTGCAGGCCTTCATTCGCCTTCTTAGGAGCTAAGGGCCGGAAAATCACTGAGGTGGTACCTGACCTGTGTCCTTGTAAACCTGGGGTAAAAGGCCTCGCTGACCTGTTAAAGATACTTGGCGCTGGGCTGGGGGCTCCACCATCCGGGAAGGAGGGGCTAGGTCTGGCTGCGGGGGCCGGGAAAAGGCTGAGTGGGAGCACAGCTGCCTCTGGGGGAGCACTCTGAGCTCGAGGTGGTGACTGCAGACCCTGCCCATTTAGCATGGTTGCTGGGCCCACCTGAGTCAGCTCCTGGGTACTGGAGGAAGCCCTTTGGCGCTGCTGTTCAAAGAGCTGAACCCCTCTCCCAGAGACCTCACTCAACTGCCCTCCCAGCCGGGAGTTCTGACTCTCTGTTGTTCCTGAAGCAGCCCTGGCCAGCTCCATGTCCAGATAAGGGCTGTCCCAGTCGGATTGATTGGTAAGGCTGCGGGCGTCCGAGAAGGCCTCTTCGTCCAGCTCCGACTCACTCGTTGGGGGGATGCCGTCCTCCTCTTCTGTTCCTGTCCCAGCTGCAGCCCCGAAACTCACTAGGGTGTACTTCTTGGCTCTCTGCCGCCGTTTCTTAAACATAAGCACCCCTTTAGAGTGAGGGTTGGGGGCTGCTGTTAGCAGGGATGCAATGGTCCGGCATTTGGTCTTGGCCTCCTTGATGCTCTTCTCTTGTAGGCTTTCTGCACGTTGCAGTTCTGAGGAGGTGAAGAGGTAGATTGATCAGGGCCTTTGCCTCCTATTCTAACTCAGCTCCCCAAAGATCTTACCTCCTATTTTGGGGGGGGTTGTTGTTTTTCACTGAAAGGACCCACGATGTCTCTTGTCTATGGCAAACTCCCCTGACTTTGAGACAGTGGAGGGGGAAAGGTGAAACCAAGGAGAGCAACTGTCCACACACAGCTCTTCCGTTCCCTCTATTGCACTCGTATTTTCCAAGAGATGAGCCTTGTCCACTCCACACATTCTTCACCTGCCTCCCATTCTTGACTGGCAGTGGAGTGGGGGAGGTGTTATTCTAAGGCTAGCAGAACCAGTTCCAGAGAGAGAAAAAAAGGGACACTTTTCTCCCACCATACAATGTAAGCAGACTCCTTACACACCTATTCCCCCTATAACCAGACACACAGATTCTTTGTTTTTGTGACATGATATCCCTAGCTATCCTGGAACTCACTCTGTAGACCAGGCTGGCCTTGAACTCACAGAGATTCAGCTATTCCTGCCTCCCAAATGCTAGAATTAAAGGTGTGTACCTCTATCCCCAGCCCAACACAGAGATTCTTAGCATGAGGTTCTTCATTCACATTTCCATCCATCAAGTTGTTCACATCATAAACACTCCTAGAAATTGCTCCCTCCACTGTGTTAACATCATCTCCTAAGAACTGGCTATGGGTATATTTTCCCCATTGTACTTTTCATATTCACAATTGTCCCGGCTTACATACTCATTAGTTCACTTGTACTTATACCCTCATACAAACAGAATTGTCAACTACATCTATATACCTAATATATCCAGGTAGCTCTTCCCAGAGTTTTCCCTGTAAAGATTCTAGTACAGTGTAGACAGGATTTTAGAACTTGGCTGTCCCAACTGCTAGAACACTAGTTTATGCATAACGCTACTACTTACATCCAGGATAATCTTGGATCCAAGTTGCAGAAAAAGGCAGTGTGCTACTCTCCAAGGTAACCCCCTACACCTTTAGGGGATTTTCAGGTCACCAGGTAAATATATTCTCCTTCCTCACAAGTTGGTGTTGGCTCTGGGGTCAACAGCTTTGGAGTCTAGAAATGTTTCAGCTCCTATTTGTGCAGCCATTCAAGTAGAGAATTCATAGGAGCAGCACACCATTAAGTGGGCATGAGAAAGTCTGGGTGCTGAAGAACCAGGGCTGATTTCATAAGCCTTGTGGGGCCTGAGTAGGTGGGGCCAGGAAGTGGGAAGGACTGCCCTGCTATAAGACCCAGCCCTGGACATTCTGGTGTGTGATCCCCAATTCCTCCTGGAAAATTCTTGACATTCCATTTACTTTTCCTCTCAAGATACCAAGCTGCTTTCTAATTAGGGCTCTCATTCCTTTTGTCCCCATGGGTATAACACCGAATAGTACTATGTGTGAGAGAATAGACACAGGAGTCAGACTTTAGTTCTGAGAGAATTACTTCACCTCAGCCATTTACTTTCCATGCCTGTAAATGAGGATGTTAATGGCTACCTCTGAACACAGTGAGATAGTAAACAACATTTAACACACTGCCAAGGCCCACTGTGAGCAACCATTACACTTTACTGATGTAAGTTCCCCCTGTACAACACCTTCTTATTCTTTTATATCTTCTCCCAGATCTGCACATACATGTTTCCATGTATTCACTGTGCTCCTCAACTTCTCACTCTTTTCCTATGAACTTCCCACAGCTCATGTAGTCATAAACCCCTTGCCATGTAGTCTTAGCATCAACCCGTTATGAGAATGGGGTGGTGACTCTTTCCCGAAAGAACGAGGGAAAAGACAGCAAAAAAGAAAGGGTGAGCAAGTGTGGCCTCTCCCAAAGGCCCCCCCTCACACACACATTGTTGAGACATTGCCCTCTGCTCTAGCCCTCAGAACTCCCTTGAGTGGGATAGGGTAGTACCTGCATAGAATGAGTCTTGGAGCTCAGGATCTGGGGCTTTGTCACAGCTGGATTGGCTGGGGGGCTCTTCGATGATGGGCTCAATGGCTTCCATGCTGAGAAAGGCAGTGCTGGCTGGAGCAGGACCAGCTTGGGTCACCCCCAAGGCCTTTTAAAGCCCCTTTGTCTTGTCTCCAGAGCTGGCAGCTGAATGAGCTCATTGAGCTGTTTTTAGAATCTGTCCCCCTCCCTTCTTTCCCTGTTCCACAACTCCTGGTGTGATAGACATGGGCACCTGCCTCCCCTTCCCCTCACCCCACCCTCTCTGGACTGTGAGGTCGGCTTGGCTAAAAATAAGTTTGAGCCACTACATAGACTCTTTCTTGCCCAGCATGATAGGAAGGGAGGGGTGCTAAAATGAGAATTAGGGATAAGAATGGGATCTTGAGCATGCATCTGGAATTTCTTTGTAGGCTATGACAGTCAGGATTGTCAGACTATAAACTCCCACAGTTTTAGCCTCTATACAAATTCAAAGACATAAAACTTCTTGAAGTGAGAATCAGAGTAGTGGAAGAAAGGAAAGATAACTAAAGAGAGTAAATACTAAGACTTCAGAAGTGGCAAAATAGAAGTCTGCGGAAGGGGAATGGGAGGCATGGGACAGAGAGGATCCTCACTAGATCCCATTCCATAGCTCACATTAAAATAGTAAGAACCTGATAAAAATGGGACAGCCTTTTCTGCCCAGGCCTACATTCTTGCCTGAGATAAGAAACCAAAGGCCCCTTTCCTACTCCTAGCAGTCTTATGATTCTCCCCAGCAACTTGTTAGTCCCCAGGAATCCCAAATGAACTCACAAGTGTCAAAAGTAGCATTCATACTATGCCTACAGTTGACAATGTAAAAAGCCCCTATGCTCCCACCCTGCTTTCAGGTACTCCCTGCCTGGAATCATCCCTTCTCCTCCCTCCATACCAACATCTAGCAAAACCACCCCACTACCATGAACTTGAGGACTCGCCCCATTTCCCCTCTAGTGTCTGTTCTTAGTTTGAACTGAGCCACTAAGCCATATAAGATAATAGTTATAATTAAGATAAATTAAGTAAAATTATTCTCCTCTTCATTACTCTTCTCAACTTGTTCCAAAGACTGTTTCTGGGGAACATGAGGTAGGTAGGGTGAGTGGGTGTGAAGGCACAGACTTAGGACCCTGATTGAGAACACTCAACAGGCACTCACTGGCTTGCTTGGCCTTCTGGGTGTAGGTGGTAGTAAGATCTTCTCCCAGTGGGTGTGGGACAGGGCCCACCATAGGGATGAGATGAGGACCAGGCCGGAGTGGACCATGGGGTAACAGAAGTGCTTCTGCCGGGGGTGGCTGAAGAGCAGCGCCTTCCTCCCAAGATGGGGAGCTCACACGGCTGTCATCCTGGCTGGGAGAGCCAATTTTAGCAGGTGCTGGTTCTGCAGGACTGTCAGACAGGTACACCTCATCAGGTGGGGCTCCTGGAAGGGAGGGCCTTGTGGGACCTCGTCGGCGGGTTCTGCGGGGCTTCTCTTGTGTGGCAGGGCCATCAACATCGCTGTCTGTCTCTCCATAGTAAGCTTCACTGTCAGGCGGTGAGCGAAGGCTCCCAGGTGGAAAAGCCTGGGGAGCAGGAGCACCCGGGGGCTCAGGACTCAGTGGAGATAGTGGTGACAGCACTTGAAGTCCCCCTGGAGATGGAGATCTCACAGACCCTTCATCTGCTACCCTGGTTGGAAAAGATGAGAGAATTTGAAAGAGGGACCAATGGCTACAGGACTAACAGCTCTGGAGGGGATGAAGGAGCAAGGCAGTGGGAAAAGGAAACTAGCATATAGCTGGGATAGGCACAATAGGTAGGGGATCTGGAGGCTCTGAGGAGGGTGGGATAAGAAGATAGGACTGAAGTCACTCATTCTTCTCGACACCCCATCCCTCAGTTGCAGATACAGTTCACTGCCAGGTATATACAGAAAAAATAACCAGAAATAGGTACTTGTTAGTTACTAAAGCCAGGCCAGTGAGACACAGACAGAGCTGAGACAGGCAAGAAGAGACCCAGGCTAGAGAAAAAGGAGGGGAGGACACCATACCTCCTCACAGTAAGGACAAGCAGATGCCCTGAGGTATCAATGAAGGTCATGGCACTGGCATGGGAAAAGTTGGTGCAAGAAACTCCATTGATCGCCAAGAGCTGGTCCCTCTCTCGGAGTCCTGCTCTTCCAGCCTGGCTCCGTCTTCGGATCTGAGATGTTGAAGGAGAGAGTGTGGATCATGGAGAGCTCCAATGGGAACGGAATGAAAGGACAAAAGACCCATGTAAGAGGGTTTTTTGTTTTGTTTTGTAGGGCAAATAGAATAAGGAGGTATCTGGGGTGCAACTAAATAGGTATTCTGGGAGATAGTGACAGGGCTATCATTTTATTGAGTTCCCACTGAAATGTTAGGCATTGCACTGTATGAAATATTGCACTTAATTCTTGGGATGGTTTATAAAGTTGGTACTGTCATTACTCACATTTTACAGCCATGAAAACTAAGTCTGTCAGGTGAAGCCATAAGGCTAATGACTTTATTTGCAAGTCTAGCACCTAATCTTGCCTACTAAGAAAAGGGATATGACTTCCAGAAAGAGGAGCACTGAAGGCATTGGCAGGGTAGGGTAGGGCAGGGCAGGACAGGGTTGGGTTGGGCTGGGCTGAGAGAGACTGCCTTAGCTTGTCACATATCAGTTAGTCAGAGGGAAATTAGACCCTTCCCTACATTCCTGGAGTTTGGAGTAGAGAAGCTCACACACATAGGGGAGCAAATACTGGATGACTAGACTCTTCTCCCACAGTGCTGAAGCAGAGCCTTCCTTTTGTTCTGCTCCCTGAAACCAGAATTGGCTTTGCTAATAGTCCTTCAGGAGCTTGTGGTCAGTCTGCTCCCCTATAGCCTTGAGCATGTTAACCTGCCCACCTGCCCACCACCTCTTCTTCACAACCTTCCACTCTGCCCACCCCCATCAGCCCAGAAGGCTACCACATGACTTTTCCCAAGTTCCCTTCTCTACAAAACACCATTTTAGGGGCTCTCCCTTACCTTGGATACCTGCAAAGGTTTCTTCTGTTCAGCCCCCCCCTGAAGCCGGAAGCCCCAGGGTGCTCCCCCTGCTAATGTGACCTGCACCTCCTCCTCAGCACCCATCGCACAGCTTGACCTGTGGCCCCCAAAGTTTGGACAGTATTCCTGAGAGAGAAGCTGAGGTGCTGGTACCCCGTCTGACCTGCCTGTCCGGCTGTCCTGCTCCTGCCGACCCAGGTCTCCCTCCACCCCCACCGCCACCCCACACCCCACACACCATAGGCAGGCAACTTGGGCCTGGGATCAGTACAGTCCAGTACACATGTCCTGTCAGTCACAGCTTGCTTAAAATAGTTGCAGGCTGTGCTCTTTTCCCTCCCCCAGCTATGTTACTCCTAGAACTAATTATAGTACAGACTTCTGCCTTCCATGTCCCTCCCTTCTCTTCACAGGCCTTTTAGTCAGGACTCAGGATCAGATCTCTGGCTTTTACCTAAGTACGATCATTCAAAACACCATGCTTTCCCCCAAAGCCCACTGCAAAGTGAGAGTAGCAGAGGCTTCAATCCCAGAGCTGGCAAGAAATGGCTGGGTCTGACCCATGAAGTCCTCAGGGAAGAGGGGCCACCTCACTGTTTGAATTTACTATTGAATCAGAACCTGTGCACTGCACAGTATGCTAAACATGGAAAGCATGACTTTTGGGGAAGAATAATAGGTTAATTCTATAATAGGGAGACAGAGCAGATGATTCTCTGAATTCAGGCTAGCCTGCTCTACAGAGCAAATTCCAGGACATCCAGGGCTACACAGAAAAACCTTGTCATTAAAAACAAACAAACAAAAAGAATATGAGTTTATACATAGTGGCCAGATAGGAGGAAATGATGAACCTGTAGCTGGAGTTACAGGTTATAAGCTTCCAAATGTAGGTCCTAGGAATCAAACTCAAGTCTTTTGCATGAGCAGCAAGCATTCTTAACTGCTGAACCATCTCTCCAGTCCCTTATTTATTTTTATTTGTTTATTTATACCACATAATCCTTTACTTTTATTGCATACATCAATATTCTACAGAAATAAGAGTTAACTTGGGGGCTGGAAAGATGGCTCAGCAGTTAAGAGCACTAGCTGCTCTTCCAGAGGACCTGAGTTCAATTCTCAGTAATCACATCCTGGTCCACAACCATCTGTAATGAGATCTGATGCTCTCTTCTGGCCTGCAGGCTTACATGCAGACAGAACACTGTATACATGATAAACAAATAAATCTTAAAAAAAAAAAAGTTACTGCTGAAACAAAACATATTGGTACTGACATGCCAGTAATTCCAGCACTCTAGAGGTTGAGGTGGAGGACCAGAACCTCAAGCACTTTATAACAAGTTCAAGGCTACACAAGAGCCTGTCTTTTAAAAAAGTTCAAGGCTAGCCTGGGCTGTGTAAGTGACACCTTGTCTCAAAACAGTAAATGGATAAAGAGGAGAGGCTGTAGGCATGGGATGGCGCTCAATATAGGGTGCTTGCCCAACATGTGTTCAAACACTGCCTGATAGCAAACCAATGAAGTCCCTAGAGCTGAGGGTGTATGGGTGTCATATTTTTGGGAACCCATTTTTGGGTGACCCTAATATACACTGAGTATTAGTTAAAGCCATTGGTATATATGGTTGTGAGCCATCATGTGGCTGTGGGAATTGAACTCAGGACCTCTGGAAGACTAGCTAGTGTTCTTAATCACTGAGCCATCTCTCCAGCCCCCAGCGGTAACATTTTTAAAATTAAAAATTCAAGGGACTGTTGTTTGCTGAGTCCCATCTCCAAAACTATACTACATTTAGGTGGATTGGCAATGTACATTTCTAGCCAGGTTTGGTGGCATATGCCTTTAACTCCAGCACTCTGGGGGCATAGGCAGGAGGATCTCTTTGATTTCAAAACCAGCTGGGTCCATACAGTGAGTTCTAGGCCAGAAGGGCTATGCAGTGACACCCCTTACCAAAAGAGAGAGAGAGAGAGAGAGAGAGAGAGAAGAAAGAAGGAGAAGAAGAAGAAGAAGAAGAAGAAGAAGAAGAAGAAGAAGAAGAAGAAGAAGAAGAAGAAGAAGAAGAAAGCTGGGCAATGGTGGCACACATCTTTAATTCCAGCACTGGGGAAGTAGAGGCAAGCAGATCTCTGAATTCAAGGCCAGCCTGGTCTACAGAGCAAGTTCCAGGACAGCAAAGGCTACACAGAGAAATCCTGTCCCCAAATAAGCAAACATACACACACTTAACAGAGAAAGAAAACAAGAAATAAATGAATTTACATTTCTAACAAGTCCCAGCTGATACTGCTACCATTGACTCCAGGATCCATTGACATTACTTTGGAACTGGACAGAGACACGACTAGTGACAAAGAACACTGGCTGCTCTTGCAGATGACCCGGCTTTGATTCCCAGCATCCACATGCATTCTTACAGGCATCTGTAACTCCAGTTCCAAGGGATCCAGTGCCCTCTTCTCGTCTCTGTAGGAACTGCATCCACAAGGTGCACAGGCAAAACACCCAAACGTAAAAAATTAAAGGTAGCAAACTGGGCAGAAACAACTGCCTGATTAGTAACTCATATGCAAACTGAAGTCCCCATTCTTTTCAAAGTATGCACTCCTGTATCATTATTATTACATATAAAAGCAAAACATTTTACTTTATTCATGAGACCTAGGACCTGAGTTGGTCCAAAGAAGTGTTTAAAGTTTTGTGAATAAATTGCACTGGAGAGGTGAAAATATAAAGACTGTGACCCTGGCATATCCAGTTTCAGGACAGTCTGGCTATAAATTGAGATCCTGTCTCAAAAAAAAAAAAAAAAAAAAAAATGACAGCGGTGGTGGAGAAGGGGGAGAAGGAGCAACAATTACCGATTAGTTACAATTATTCTTTAAAGAGTTATAATTACAGAAAGAATTGTAGCTCTTTTAATAGAGCAGAGAGATCTTTCAGTTCTAGTATTGTTTTGCCTCTGTAAAAAAAAAAGGCACGGCATAAAATGGTAAATAATTAATCTTTATTGAACACTATACTAGTCTCTTAATCCATTGCAATTCGCTGTGCAATAGGCATTATTTTCGTTATAGTAAAAAAGCGTCCAAGCATTGAGCTAAAGGGACCAAACTGGAACACATAAACACACAACTTCATAGCAAGGGATAGTACCGTGTCACCACCACGCACGGCTCAAAGGTCGGACCTGAGGGACGCAAATTAATGGGGTGAAAAGTTAACAGGAAGTGGCTACAAGACTAGAGGTTCTTAATGTGTCACAGTATGACAGAGGGAGCGTTACTAAAATAGTATAATTTTCTGAACGCCCTCTCAGCTGGTAAAGCCATAAAGAGTATGAAATATCTGGAAGGAAAAAAAAAAATAAGAAGAAACTCAGCATTGCTTCTCAGACAACCACCACAACGGGAGAGAACAAAAGCGCATGCGTAGCATCCGGGTTTCCGGATGCGTGCCTAAGGCCGACGTGGCAGAAGGAGTGGCCCTCGGTCCTACAGCAAGGGGCGGAACTTCCGGAGACGGCACGCCAGCTCCCTCGGAACCGGAAGTCGAGCCTGGGAGCCTTGACGTTAGGAACGAAGTCGAACCTGGATCTGGAGCCGGGTGAGGAGTGGCATCGCGAGGTTGTGTGGTGGGGAGGAATGCTGAGGAGAGGCCAGGGTATTTCTAGTCTGGTCGTGGTCCGGTTTTAGAGGAAAGGGAGGAGCCTGGAGGCGGGGTCTGGAAAGAGACCCTCACCTCCTGCATCCGTGACCGGCGATCGGTCCCAGACCCCTCCCTTCACCTCCGGGCCCAGGTTCCGGCTCTCGGCAGCCTTCCCGGCATGTTGAAGGGCATTAGAAGCTTGTTCTTTACTACTTAATGAACCGGCCCTCATCGTGGCCCTAGAGGCTGGCTTGGTTTCCTGATCTCGATCCCTGGAGCCCCCAAACCTCTGCATCTCGGGTACTTTCAGAGTTCTAGGAAGCTTGCCCCGCCCCTTTGGGTTGTCACCTTCGACTGTCTACCTAGAATGGAGGCAAGATTGGAGTTTGACTTCAAGCTTATTTCTTTCCTCTCTCTCCTGACTTCAGGAAGTTAAAGGGAGGAGTACGTCTCCAAAGCTTAGTGTTGGTGGCATGTGCAAGGTTTAGGGTTTGGAAGGACAGTTCCTAAAATGGCTTTGACTTTACAGAGTTTTCAGCCCGGTAGAAGTTCATCTTTTGGGCTTTGCTCGCAGACCTGAGTGACAGGTCTCACTCTTCCTGGGCCCCCCTTCTGCCTGTGGAATAATTAGAACGATAACGCTGTTGAGATCTGCTGTTCCCTTCTTGGAATGACCCTTGAATGGACTCATCCTTCTGTTGCTGAGCAAGTTTGTAATAGTTTTGATAGCGACCTATCAAACATTAGAACAGAAACCGAATTTCAGACATGCTTTTGGATTTAGAGTACCCATAGTCCTCTCCTTGAGGGATGAAATGAATGATCTTTGTAATGGAATATTGCTTGCTAGGTATTCAGATGTTCTCTACATTTTTTACCCCCTTTGTATTGCTCTGGCTGTCCTGTAGATCTGTAGATCAGGGTGGCCTTGTAGTCACAGAGATCTGCTTGCCTCTGCCTCCCAAGTGCTGGGACTAACGGTGTGCGCTGCAACTTCTTGGCTACATTTTCTTTTTTCAGGGTTAATACACTATTCTCAAGGAGAGTATGGAGTCAGAGTAACATTTGGATTATTGTGGATCAGAGAAAGAATGCCGTTTCTCTCAAACAATTCTACAGTTGTCCTTTGTGAGGGAGGAATTTTAGTTGTGATCTATTTTAAATTTTTCGCATTAGTAGTTAAAAAAAAAATAACCCAGCACATTTGAAGTTACTTAAGTGTTTATTGGTGATGGTAGACAGAATGAATGGAAAGTGGAAACATTGTTTTATTTAATTGTAACATCAAGGTAGTTGTCAGCCAGGGGACTCTGTGCTTAGACACTGAAAATCATACTACTGGAGAATGTCAGCTGTTCTGTTCCGTTTGGTCTAACTGAAGTTGAAATTTATACCTTCTTGGCAGTGACACAACACAGAGTTCACAGTAACAAAATCCTTGCTTTGAAGAAAGTGACTGGATACTGGCTGGGGTAGGAAGTTCCTGAGACCCTGTGGTAATGTGGAAACAGTTTATCTGATCACTGC